CTCCAGCAGAGTGAACAAAGTCCCGCAGAGTGAACAAACTACAGCAGAGTGAACAAACTCCAGCAGAGTGAACAATGTCCCGCAGAGTGAACAAACTACAGCAGAGTGAACAAACTCCAGCAGAGTGAACAAACTCCCACAGAGTGAATAAACTATAGCACAGTGAACAAACTCCAGCAGAGTGAACAAACTCCAGCAGAGTGAACAAACTCCAGCAGAGTGAACAAACTCCAGCAGAGTGAACAAACTCCAGCAGAGTGAACAAACTCCAGACTGTATTTTACAGAGTAAACAGTAAAGAAGAAGTGATCATCCCTCAGACGTTGTGTTGCAGTTCAGTGTCTCTACAATGTGTCTGCTGCTCACCATGAAGAGGCCACTGCAGCTCCTGGTCCTCCAGAGGGGAGGCCGCTGGCAGCAGTCTGTTCAGGCGGTCCAGAGGGGGCAGCAGGTCCAGCAGGTGGCTCAGCAGGGGCCTCACCACCGACACCGGCAGCAGCAGCAGTGAGTTGATGATCTGACCCAGCATACTGCCTGCTGCCGACACATAGATCACGTCTGGAGAGGACATGTTAGATATGAGCTGGAGAACAGAGGGCTGCAGCTGTAACAGTTATCCTGTCAGGGTTCAGTACAGATGTTTAATAAACTATATTTTATCACCGAGTTAAACATAAAGCTGCAGAAGGAACTGTTCTTCACCTTGCAGCTTCTCTTGGATGTTCCCGTTGCAGGAGCTCTCCTTGATGAGCACGGCCGAGCGGGAGAAGATATCTGTGGCGTGAGGCAGCAGCAGCTGCAGGTGTTTGTGGAGCAGAGCCACACTGCTCGAGTTCTGCAGGAAAACATGATTCTTATGCATCAGGACCGTTCTTCACCGGGACAAAGCKTAGCAGTTTTTATTAACAGAGCATTCTGTATCAATTAGAGAAAAAAATACTGCAATCACAAAATTTTAATTAATAAATGTATAAATTAGGCTCAATGTCAGGATTTCTACTAGAAATAAGACCAAAGAGGGAAATGTATAAACTGTGATTGTGTTATTTAATCTTAATTACAACTAAATAAGTTCTGTTCCTGGATGGAAAACAAAACTATGCATTTAAATCAACTTTTCAAACCAAAGCTCCTCATTTAAAATACCATTCTTCTGAAATTACCTTTTTTTAATTTAATTTTTAAAAAATTGTTGTTATTTTTGGCCATGTTTGACACCAAAGTAGAAATATTTACTGTAAATGTACAGTAGACTGTAAAACCTGCACAGCWGGAAATAAAGGAATGTTTTTGGAACGATAAGTGTTTTTCTTTACAAGGTTTAGGTGTTTTTCAGTAAAACATCAGGTTAATTTAGTGAAAAACTGTCTTTCTCTTGTTGTTTGGGGCTAGAGCCACCTGCAGCTCGTTAGTTGAACAGATCTTTGTGTTGTTCACGTGGTGTTTTACACCTCCAGATTTTAAAATCAAACTTAGTGCTGGGTTAAAACTTTTGCAAATTAATCTGTTTGCATTGAATAAATCGAAAAGTGCTGAGCTGACAGAGCTGTTTCTGACCTGATTTTTATCTTCAAAGAAGAAAAAATCTTGACWCTTGTGCCTGAATATTTCTGTAAAAACTCTTCTAAATATTAAAGGTCAAACAAAACCATGAAGCATGACAGCAGGGAGTRAATAAACTGTTTAAAGACCCTTTCTTTCTAACTGAACCTGCACCTGGAAGCTTCCTGAGTGGATGCAGGGAGGGGCAGTACCTCGGTGACGGCGTTGATGTGGCAGTAAGCCAGCAGCTGTTTCTGCAGGGAGCACAGGAGCTGGTGGAGGTGAGCAGGCTGGCTGCTGTCTGATGAAGACGTGCCCTGCTGCAGCTTATCACTGTTCTTCTCCAGTTCTCCTAAAGCCTGGTCCTGCACAGCACAGACATGTAGAGACAGTCAGAGAGGAAACACCACAAACCTTTATCGCTTCATTTACACGTCCTAATGTTCAGATTAAATCAGGATAACTGTGTGAGAAGAATCCAGGATGTGTCTGCAGCTTAAACTCTGGGTTCACGGTCATTTCCAAAACCAAATAAAATGATTTGGTTTCAACTGGAACCCTGAAATACACAACGCTCCACTTCACATCTCACACAAATATGTTGTAAAACATGGGTTTTATGATGAAAATGGGATTTAAAAATCTGTATTTTCAATAGTTTGCAATGTGGCCCTCCCCTAAGAATTTATTTATTTACTGAAAAAACAAAAACTTACAAGTAAAAACATAGATAAAAATAAATGTGTGTCTGATKTTTGCTCCGGAACAATACAAGGGTTATTATGATGTCAATCATTTGAACGTGTCCTCAGCTGTCTGTGTTCAGTGTGACACACACCTCCATACTAATCAGCCCTGTGACTACCTGTCAGCCTTTCAACAGGCAAACTGATGACAGGACACGCCTCAGTTTAACACGTCCCTTCGGTCAGATTGATTTAATACAACAGTGCTTTTGTCAAAGGCAGCTTTGTTACGTTGTTTCCTTTTCATTCTGTTGAACAACAATGACTTCTTGTCAGTTTGGAGTAWTTTCAGTGACATTTGTGTGTTATTATTTCTAACAGCTGCAGAAAGAGAAGAGGTGACTCCTGAGACAAACAGTTTCAGGCCTGAGCGCTCACACACTCCTAACCCCAGCTTGTGTTTCTTCCAACGATTATTGAGTCATTTATGCAAAGAGAAGCACAGGAAACTGTTCAGAACTGATTCTGATGACTCACTGTGCAGCCTGAAACTCCACCCTGCTGAGGTCCAGTCTGCATGCATCAGAACCCAGCTGTAAAACTAAGTCCAAACAGGATCCACTCACAGTGTAAAAGCCAAGGTTCCTCAGCAGCGTCTTCATCAGGATCTCAGCCAGGTGGGTATCAGGGTGGCCCCCCGTGGGGCTGTAGGCGCTGTCGGGGTAAGCTGTAAAGGCTGGGCCGGAGGAGGGAACCTCGGATCCGTCTGCAGGAGAGCTGTAACCGAGGAGCGAGGCCACATGGGTGTGATCCTGGAGGCTGGTCAAGATGATGTCCAGCTGCATCCTCTGAGGCAGAAAACATGATTTATTTATTTATAC